CCTCCTGCGAAATCTGCACTTTCAGGTTCACGAAATCTCCACTTCGAACTTCGAGGTTCCCAAAATGCTGTGCCTGCCATGAAATCTGCACTTCGAGGTGTACAAAGCGCTGCGCCTGCCACGAAATCTGCACTTTCAGGTGCACAAAGCGCTGCGCCCGCCACGAAATCTCCACTTGGACGTTCAGAAAGCGCTGCGCCTGCCACGAAATCTGCACCTCGAGGTTCACAAAGCCCTGCGCCTGCCACGACATCGGCACCTCGAGGTTCACAAAGCGCTGCGCCTGTCACGAAATCTCCACTTTCAGCACAGCCAGCGCGGCCAAAATCGGAGTCCTCCCCACACGAAAACGCAAATCATAACGTTGGAATCCAACGTTACGATCCGTTTTCGGCGACAGTTTCACAAAAAAGTGCAAATCATAACGTTGGACTCGGTTCAAAAAAGAGAATTACTATAATCTTTTTCAAACGCGTCCAACGTTACGATTTCGACTTTTGTCCCACGCCTGCCACGTAAAACGAGCATAACGTTGGATTCCAACGTTACGATTCAGCGTCTGGCCACACGTTGGGCCACCTGGAGCTTCAAACTCCGTGCGCCGGCCACGAAACATGAAAGCAGGTTTTCACCAAACGCTGCGCCTGCCACCAAAAATCGAACTAGAAGTTTAAGAAACGCTGTGCTTGCCACGAAAAATGGAACAAGAAGTTCACTAAATGCTGCGCCTGCCACGACAAATGGCAACAGAGGTTCACCAAAAGCTGCGCCTGCCACGAAAAGTGGAACTAAAGTTTACCAAACGCTGCGCCTGCCCCGAAAAATCGAATCAGAGGTTCAACAAATGCTGCGCCTGCCACGAAAAGTGGAACTAGAAGCTTACCAAATGCTGCGCTTGCCGCAAAAAATGGAAACAGAGGTTCACCAAATGCTGCACCTGCCACGAAAAGTGGAGCTAGAAGTTTAACAAACGCTGCGCCTGCCCCGAAAAATCGAATCAGAGGTTCACCAAATGCTGCGCATGCCACGCAAAGAGGTCCCCTGTGCGTGCCACGAAAACTGATTCCACAAGTAGCGCACGCATTGACGGTACCTATGGGACACTATGCAAGAGGTTAAAGGAAATGAGTGTGTTTTTGCATTTTCTACACATCACTTGTGACACTGCGGTTCCTCTTCGACTATTGAGTGAAAAAATGGAAGTTCTCTGTTTTGAGATGGAGCTGATCATTTCAATATGTTGTGACTGAGCCACATGATGATCGAATCAGACAGAGGTTCAGCAAGGTGACGGCTTCCAAGCTCTGTTCCTGAGGTCGCCCGGCGCGCAAAAGCACGCTCGAACGCAACTTCCAAACTCCCCCAAAGTGCGGACACCGCACGGCGCTGAGAAGGCCGAGGTTAATGCGAATGAAAGTTTGGATCCATGTGTCCAGTGTGCATATCAATCGGACCCCAGCAGCCGAAAACCGAAACCATGGGGGTATCTAACACTGAAGGCAACGCCAACATGCCCCACCGCGTCGCCCAACACGCCGAGCGGCCACCTGCATGACAAACGCCGCAAGGTCCAAGCCGAAGGTCAAAGCCTGCAGGTTTGCTCTGCAAGGCGACGGCTTCCAAGCAGCCTGTTCCTGAGGTCACACCGGCGCGCGACAGCACGCCCAAATGCAACTTCCAAAATTATCACTGAAATACGGGCAGCTCACGGCACTGAGAAGGGCGAGGTTAACGCGAATGAAAGATTGGATCCATGTGTGCATATCAATCGCCCCAGCAGCCGAAAATAGAAAAGCATGGAGACATCTAATGAATGTAAAATAGGGGATGCACTCATCACCGACATCCCACCCACCGCGTCGCCCAACTGCATGACAAACGCCGCAAGGTCCAAGCCGAAGGTCAAAGCCTGCAGGTTCGCTCAGCAAGGCGACGGCTTCCAAGCAGCTGTTCCTGAGGTCACACCGGCGCGCGACAGCACGCTCGAATGCAACTTCCAAAATATCACCCGAAATGCGGACAGTGCACGGCACTGAGAAGGCCGAGGTTAAACACAAATGAAAGTTTGGATCCATGTGTGCATATCAATCGTCCCAGCAGCCGAACGCAGAAAGCATGTGGACATCTGAACCTAAATAAGGGATGCACTGAAGGCATCGCCAACACGCCCACCCCAGGAGCCCCTAGTAGCGTCCTTGCCCCTATAGTAGTAAGGCAGGAAGTAGCATCCTTGCTCCTAGTAGTAAGGCCAGGACCCCCTAGTAGCGTCCTTGCTCCTAGTAGTCAGGCCAGGAGCCCCTAGTAGCATCCTTGCTCCTAGTAATAAGGCAGAGCCCCTAGTAGCATCCTTGCTCCTAGTAGTAAGGCCAGGAGCCCCTAGTAGCGTCCTCGCCCTAGCGATAAGGCCAGGAGCCCCTTGCTCCTAGTAGCAAGGCCAGGAGCCCGCGTCACCCGACAGGCCGAGCGGCCACGTGGCCGGTTGATACGACCACGGGCGAAGAGCTCGAAGTCGAAGAAGGCGCCTGCATACCGACGAGCGAGCGACCGCGGTAGTAAGGCCAGGAGCGCCGAGTAGCGTCCTCGTTCCTAGTCATGTGCCTAGTGGCGTCCTTGCTCCTAGTAGTAAGGCCAGGAGCCCCTAGTAGCGTCCTTGCTCCTAGTAACTAGTAATAAGACCAGAGTAAGGCCAGGAGCCCCTACTAGCGTCCTTGCTCCTAGTATAAGGCCAGGAGCCCGCGTCACCCAACAGGCCGAGCGGCCACCTGGGCTGGTTGACACGACCACGGATGAAGAGCTTGAAGTCGAAGAAGGCACCTGCAAACCGACGAGCGCGCGACGCAGTAGTAAGCCCAGGAGCGCCGAGTAGCGTCCTCGCTCCTCGCAATGTGGCCAGGAGCCCCTAAGAAGGCCAGTAGCAAGGCCAGGAGTCCTTGCTCCTAGTAACAAGGCCAGGAGCCCCCCTACTAGCGTCCTGAAAGTAAGGCCAAGAGTCCCTAGTAGCGTCCTTGCTCCTAGTAATAAGGCCAGGAGCCCCTAGTAGCGTCCGTGCTCCTAGTAGTAAGGCCAGGAGCCCGCGTCACCCCACAGGCCGAGCGGCCACCTGACCGCGGATGAAGAGCTCGAAGTCGAAGAAGGCGCCGCGCATCAGCCGCTGGCGCATCAGCCACCGAATGACATGGAGCGGCGAAACCAACAATTGAAAAGCGCTACATCCACAACGCAACATAACGTTGCCATTAGCAACCGAAGCAAACGTTGAGCAAGGTCATTTGCTCGAAAAGTGTAACAAAACAGAATGTTGAGAAGGGTCCTTGAAAGCACTAGGAGCAACAAAGTCCACAGTCTTGGCAGGGTCAGATTGTGGTTTTGCTATCATCTTGTGGTCTGCTTGTCTTTAATTTCTGTGATACCGTTTTTTCCTTTCAAAGTTGTTCCGCTTCCTGGCTGCAATCCAGAGCAAGAATGACCGAAGGGTTTCCGAAAACTGCTTCTGGAGGTGGTCCAAAACATAAACCCCGGTAACAAGGCAAGGGCAACCGCACGCAACCAAACAATTTGCGTCACATGTTTCTTTATTGGGCCAACCCTGTAGTTGACGCATCATATTACACGGTAATAGTATGTCAACATCAAACATCTCACTATCTCTTTGAGGAGCTCATATTATCTGCCTCAGCTGCTGCAGGGTACTGCGGGCACGACAAACCTGGACTAGCAAGCCTAGACAGAGAGAGAGGGAGAGATGTGAGGGACTCTAGCCCAGCATACGCTAGCTTTTGCGAGCACGGCCAGTTCGGCAAGGTTGCTCTTACAGCCCTCGCTCAGCAGTTGTCAGCTTAGCTGTAAACAAAAAGCTAGCACGTGGGTGACAGGTGACATATTTATCGCTTGCGCCGGCTTCTGCGAGCACGGCCACTTCAGCAAGGTTGCTCTGACAGCCCCCGCTCAGCAGTTGTCAGCTTAGCTGTCAACAAAAGCTAGCACATGGGCGCAAGTCTCTCTTTCCCCAAACACTGCCAATGTGCCCTGCAATATAGCTATGTGGACATCTGCTCAGACTGCTCAGATTGCACTCGACGCGCCAGCAGCCAGGTGAGATCAGCAGAGCTCAACTTGCCAGCGCGCCGCATGAGTCTCTGTCGCTTTTTCTCCTGCATGTGCGCCAGAATGAGTCGCGCCGCGCGCAAGTCGGAAGCGCAAGCAACACAATACTGCATCAAATTTCAACAATACATGTGGATCATGCGCCGGTCGCCTCATTGCGAACCTCACGGTTCGCTTGCTGGAGCTGCCGCTTCAGGTTCTGCCGCTGTGTTTTGAGCGAAACCAGCCGATCGGCGGCTGGGTGCCTCACGACTTAAATTCATCAGGAAGTGGTTGGAGGTCTGAACCAGTCTGGTGCCAAGTATAGCCTTTCCAAAAATGATAAACATTAATGTCCAGATGCGGCCCAAACAAAATCACGTTGCTTGTGGGCGCTCCCAAACGTGATCAGCGTACTATGTGCGTGCCGGCGGTGCGAACCAACAGATATATGATGGCGGGGCGCCTCGCAGCCGGAGCTGCTGCTGCTGTTGCTTCTTCATCAGCGGCTGCGTCAGACATGGCAGTCGGGAGTGTCTATATAATATATAAATATTGGGGACTAGTGTTTGAGCAACATGTACTGCCCCACGGACGGGCACCGACGGCGCCCGACGGCGCGAATTTCCAAACCGAAAAATGGACCGTCTTCCAAGTTCAGCAGTTGCACCCCTCGAAGTAATATGTAGCTTTTAGCCATGCAATGTATATAGGATATCATGTATGCTTACCTTGTAGCGGTAGCTTAACGGTTAGCTGAGGGGGGTGTATTTTCACTCCACGTAATATGTAGCTTTTAGCCATGCAATGTATATAGGATATCACGTATGCTTACCTTGTAGCGGTAGCTTAACGGCTGTTTTTATAGCCAGACAACACAATGCTCTGCCCACATTCCCGTTCACGCGCCCGTCGAGGAGAACCAGTTGAACTTGTCGAGCATGGATCTCACCGACGAGGAGGCTGAGGCCCATGGCCTTCCGGCTGAACTTTTGAAATGGATGAGGAGATCAAACTCTTTGCGCGTGTTGTGAAGTTCAGAGCAGGATCGCGATCGCCGACAATCGAAGCCAACTTTCCGGAGCCTTCTTTTCATTCGATGGATATCCTTTCACTGGCAGGTGCTGGCTCAGGCAGTGCGTGGATTGCTCAACATCAGTGATATACGAGTCATCGACCTCCGCAACAACAAGATTAGCGTCAGTGGCCTCGAGGCGACCATCAATTTGTGGCCATTGTTTCATGTTTCGACCTAGGAATGTCATACTTCGAACCCTCCGACTGGAACTACGTACCAAGGGAACTAGCGGATTGGTTTGTTGTTTTTCGCTTTGAACAGATTTTTTTTTGAGCTACGGTGTACGGTATACGCGACAAACACGTTCAAATGCACACCCGGAACAGTCCAAACATGTGTAGTTTGGCAGGGGGATCAGCTTTTATCACGATCATTATTGGCGTTGCCAGATCATGGAAACTCCAACACAAACAGTTCTTTTTGCACCAGGAGGTGGTGCCCCTTTTCCAATCTAAGAACCACAAAACAAAAACAATCAAAGCAGCGCACTCATTTTTTGTCTCAAGAATGGGTTTCTATATTGTTGTATTCAATTGTGAACAAAGACACCAGCGATAGGCAAACGCAAGCACATTGAACTGGCAAAGTTTGTTTCAATTTAGAAAGATGCAAGTCTGACGGTCGGGACCCAGAAACTCTATGATTCTACACGCGTGTTTCTTCAAGGCATGTAGTTGGCCTGCCGCGCGTAGAAGGTTTAGTGTCTGCAGGGCCACTGGGAGTGCGTCGCAATTGCCAAAAGCCTAAGCATTTTCTTTGTGTGTTTCACCCATTCGGGCAAGTATGTGGAACATCCATGGTATTTACCTTGCATTATGTCAGTCTGCGGGAAATACGTGTCAATGTCGATCAAACAGGGGGTGCTTTGCTAGTTATGTGTATTATAAGTTATATGTATCATATAATATCATCGTTGGATATCGTTGGCGCTTGGCATGGTCATGTAATGGAAAGAACAGGGGTGGGAGGGGGCGGCGTATCAACGTCGATGCTAGTTAGGTGGATGCTAGATTCATGGAACAGGACGTGCTTCGTTGGTTATACATCTATATATATGATCGATGGTGCTTGGCATGGTTGTGTAGCGGAAGGAACATTAGTCTGGGCGGTGTTGACGGTTTTCGGCTGTAGTAAGCTTTTGGAACAGCGCTGCTGTCGGCTTTGTTTAGTTCACGGACAGTGATCATTGTTAAAGACTAGTAAGTCTTGCTTTCAGTGTTGTTTGAGTGGTGATGGATGGGGATCGGTCTGAAGTTTCAGGGACAGAACAAGTAGTTTTGCGGATCAAATGGTTTGACCCTAAGCTTTAGCATTGTTGCTGTTGCCTCGCATTGCTGGTCAGCCATGGAAATGTTTGGTCGAAATCTGTTTGCAGACGAAGTGCTTGTACAGATTAGCAACTTGTTCTGACGGGCCCAGGACTTAACGATATGCAGCCTGGTGAAGTTGGTACCGGTATGTACCAGTAGGTCTGGTGGTCTAAGAAGTTCTAGAGGCTTCAGTTTCGTTCAATTGGCTTCATGCTGTGTCAGACGGACGCGCGCACACACTTAGATTGATGCTCGCAAGAGCTAGATCAGTTATGATCCGAGGAAAAGAATGAGTGAACCGAAAGGCGAAAGGTCAGAAGACTTGAAGGTATTTGAACAATTGTTTGGTGCAAGTCTGCAGTCCCTATGCATTAGCCGTTTTTTCTGAATACCTAGCAGACCGTCTATGCATTAGCCGCTTTACTGAATACCTAGCAGACGGAGGGAGCGCATTAGCACTTTAGAGCGCATTAGCCCTTTAGAGTACTTAAACAGTAAAATGTTGGAAAGACGCAGGTACGTTTGCGCCCAGGTGGGGGGGTGTCTTCATTGGCCGGAGGCCCCCC